CAGTTTTTTTTTTTTTTTTTTTTTTTTTTTTGTTTTTTGTCTTTTTCCGTGTCCGGCAACGGATCGCAACCCTCAGTGTTGCCCCCGTACCGGACCGGGGACCGGCAACGGGATCGCAACCCTCGGCGTTGCTCCCGCGCCTTGCTCAGCCAGTGAGCGGGAACCGGTCTGTATGTGGGATCCGAACCCTCGGGCGGGAGCGCCGCCGCGCTTCCCAAGTGGCGCACTATCCAGTGCGCCACCGGGCTGGCCCAGTGTTCTTACTTTTTCCTCATGCCACATTGGCCTTCTCTGTGGCGTATTCGTTCCCTGTGCCCATCCAGATCCTGTTCAGACTTCGTCTTGTGTCACTCCTCTTCCAAGACATCTTTCCTGACAACATTTCCTCCTTTAAATTTTTCTGTATGTTTATGGTCTTTACTTAATGATTTGTGTATATTTTCATAATTAGATTATATATATTTTTAATGTTAACTGATGCAACCTAGGTTTGTATAATTCAAAGCAAATGTTTACTCAGTGAAGTGGTTAATTGTTGTTTTGACATTTCTTAGATGATATTTTTAGTAGACAGTCCTAATAGACTTTTTTTTTTTTGCAGTTTATAGAAGGATCATTTGAAGAGTATTTAAAACGTTTGGAAAATCCACAGGTATGAAATGATCTTCTAATTTATTTCTATTTATATATCCAAATAATATCTTTAAAATTCATTAAAATGGAAGATTAATATTACAGTGTATAGACAGGTTACAGTAATAAGATTCCTTATTTCCTTGTAAACATTTCCTACAAACATTTTAGTTACACATTTTATGCAGCATTTAATTGGATGACAGGCGGAGCTTTATATTAGGGGTAGCCTCACTAAGGATAGGAGTCATCTCTTTTTTTGATTTATTTATTTATTTATTTTTTACATTTTAAGATGTTGTGGAGCAGTTGGGGGGAGGAGGAGAGTGGGAAAGGGGAGGGAGATAGGGTAGGGGGTGTGTGGTCGAGGCCCATGACACCCTCCTCATTCCAGCAGGGGACCTGTGGGCGCTTCCAGGCTGGCTCGGTGGTCATTGCTGGGGTGGTCATTGCTGGGCTGGATGTGGACGTTGTGGAGAATGTGGCTGAGGCCCTTGGTCGCCCCCTCCCCGCCCTCCTTCCCACCCCAGGGAGCTCAGGGCTCATGCTGTCTTTATCTTTGCCATCATGGCATGTGAATGTAGCTTAAAAGATCTGGGATAGGGCTGGCCCCGTGGCGCACTCGGGAGAGTGCGGCGCTGGGAGCGCAGCGATGCTCCTGCCGTGGGTTCGGAACCTATATAGGAATGGCCGGTGCGCTCACTGGCTGAGCGTGGTGCGGGTGACACCAAGCCAAGGGTTGCGATTCCCTTACCGGTCACGAAAAAAGACAAAAAAAAAAAAAAAAAAAAAAAAAAAAAAAATTCGGGG